GATGCTAACGTTGAACTTTTCTCTGACTCCTCTTTCGAAGAACTCGGTAGTGAAAGTTTGTCACGGGCGGATGAAATGACCACAGATTGAAGGCTTACATAAGGCTTACATAAAACGATCCGTGTGTACCGAGGTCCACGGCTTCGTGGAGTGTTTTCACAGGCACAGTGCTGCGTTAATGGATGATGTGTTGTCTGTTGTTTTGCAGGTGGGCCACACACACCATGCTCCTAGCAGCTCCACCTTCAGGTGAGCCTCCCCGCGCTCAGGTTCGGTGATCCTCCGTAAAGCGCCATGGCCTCCGAGCAGCACACCGGCCGCCTCTCCCAGCCCAGTGCAGAGTACTTCTCATGGGACTATCGCCTCCAGCTCATCGGCCTTGGCTTCTGCTTCTATACTGCAGTGTTCCTCTTCTGCCACCTCCTGTCTGTGTCTCTGTGCCGGACCTACAAGTCCCTGCTGGCCAAAGAAAAGGTTTTTTGGAACCTTGCTGCCACCCGGGCGGTGTTTGGCATCCAGAGTACAGTAGCCGGTCTCCGGGCCCTCACTGAAGACTCCTCAATCACCAGAGACAAAGTGAGGGGCCAGGAAGACTGGTCGTGGTTTAACGTGCTCACAGCCACGGGCTTTTTTGCATTTGAGAACGTTGCACTTCACGCCTCCAGTGTGGTGTTTTGGTCATTCGACCTCCCGCTGGCCACGCACCATTTCTTCGCCCTGTTGGGATACGTGGGGGCGGTGGTGTGGGATTCCCTGGGCCACTTCCTGCCCATGGTCACCCTCCTGCTGGAGATGAGCACGCCATTCACCTGTATATCCTGGATGCTGCTGAAGGTAAGCATGATCGTGTCATCTCATTCTCCAGACTTGTATTTGTACGTAATCTTTGGTAAGTCCAGGCTTTCTGTAGCATCTCACTGGCTTGACCTTTTTCTTGACTTGCAAGTTTTGCTTCCTCTTGGGTCTTGTGCACCTTGTGATTATGTTCACTGTATCAGAACGTTCTTAGAAAGAGGAAGTTCCCTTTTAAAAACAGCAAAAACCTGAAGCACTAACCACAGTTTTCCTGTTCCTTCTGCTCACTGGTTTAGTGAACAGATTTTGCATGAATGTGAAGAGAAAGTGTCTGACAGATTGTGTCTCCCTGACAGGCTGGCTGGGCGTGCACTCTGTTCTGGAAAGCCAACCAGTGGGTGATGATTCACATGTTTCACTGTCGCATGGTACTCACTTACTACATGTGGTGGGTAACCTTGACCCACCGGGTGGAGCTGTGGACCCATGCGCCCCTGCCCCCGCTAATACTCTTCCTCACTGGCCTCGCTCTGCTCACACTTATCATCAACCCCATATGGACCCACAAGAAGACAATGCAGCTTCTTAATCCTGTGGACTGGAACTTTGGCAACAAGGCGATCCCACTGAACGGCACCACCGACCGTCAGCCTCAGGCTTCTGGAAAACCTCATGCCAGTTAAGGAGTATCATCTGTGTCATTTCCTGTTTCAGTTATGGCTTTTTATTTTATTATTTGAGACTGAGTGGGAGCTGACTTTTCATGGATGCCTGTTTTAAATTCTACGTTTGTTAAACTGGACTTCTTTTTAAGCCGCTTGGGCTCTCTAGTCCTTTGTTCTGTAACGCCTCTTTTCCTCTAGCACCACCTCAACTCAACTCTACTCGGTTTTTACTATTGTGTAGCAAAACCTCAATGTGGGCGGGGTCATCATAGCAAGGTGGGCAGAAAGTCCCAGTCTGCGTTTTCTTGTCAGACTTCGGGTAAAAGAAGTTTGTGTCTCCATTTCCTTCGTTGTTGGGTTTGAAAAATGGCAGATTTGATTCTTGTGAAGGAGTCGCTCTCATGACTCATCCAGTGACATCACTCCCTGGCCAATCGGTGGCATGAAGTCTCCCGATGTCACATTTTTGTTTGACTCAGCTCCTCACAAACTCACCTAATGGAAACCCTTTAAACTAAGTACTTGAGTTGTGTAGGTGCTAGTGGAAAAGGGCATAAAGAGACTTGGCTCCTGACAAAGGTTTACATATGATCATAATAGATTTTGCAACAGAATCTTTCACTGCACAGCTTTTATTTCGATTTCGTTTTATTTCAGGACTCTGGTATTACTGTCTGGCTTTTTCCAGGCTCATAACAGGACTTTGTGGTTCATTATGCACACAAGTATTATCGATGCAGCAAAGAGTTGGCAATGGTGCGATTTCACACCTTTTAACAAGTGTTGCAAGTAATAAATTACTTTTTTCAGTATAAAATATGTATGAGAGCAGCTCCTGCATTAAAAATCAGTAAGTTAAAGATCAACAAAAGCTTTGAGATAAAGAGCAGAATTAAACTGGACTTAAATATGAGTTGGGAGTAGATGTTGTCGGCCCACAGCTGTTTCTGTTGTGTAGCTATTGACAGTGAATTTAGCTCCGTCTGTTTAGGGAAGTGTGAGGTGAGCGTGAAGTGCCTCTAAATCAAAGCACTGTGAACTCCAGAGTGGACCCTTTGTTACACAGCTCTGCTGCCTGAGTGGGGTAAAACTGGATCATGTTTGAGGATGACCTCATAGGTTTACTCATTGAAGTTATTAGTGTTGTTCAGATTGTGCGTTTGGACTGCATCAGCAGAGAAACAAGCATGTTTCATGGCAGTGTTACACTGAGTCACAGCAGTCTGCTTCACAAAGGCTTTACTGTGCTTACACTAAGCAAACCTCTGACCCTGATAATTGTGGTTTAAACTG